GTTTCATCAAGACTTTTTTCGGCTGGAGGAACGTCAGATGAGGCCTGTTCAGGAGTAGTTTCCTTGGCAACTGCATCACCATCATCATCTTGAGTCAGGTCCAAGACCTGCTCATTCAGAGAAGGAGACTTAGGCCCAACAGCCTCCTTGGATTTCCTTACTAAAGCCTCATCCTCACCTTCTTCCTCATCTTCAAACTCAGATTCAGATTCTTCTTCAGCTTGACTTGGAGGTGGAGGAGGGGGAGGGAATGGGAGAGGAATAGCTTCGGCCTTGCGCAGAAGTGAATCTTCAGGAATATTGAGCTTTTTGGCCGGCGACATCCAACCAAGGAAAAAGCCCTTGTTGCATGCCTGCCTAACTTGTAATTTGTATTCCTCTGTAACATCGGCCATTCCTTGGGCATAGGCTTTTTCGTCGACCGCTTTGATTTCAGCATCTTTAGTGGCCAAGGCCTCCTGAAGTTCCTTTTCGGCTTGGGCCTTTTTGTCCTCGGCTTCTCTCTTCTCGGCCTCGGCAACCTTCTTGATGGCCTCAGTAGATTCGGCCTTTTCTTCGGCTAGGGTTTGGGCTTTGGTGGCAGCCTCAGCCTGGTCTTCCAATTTTTTCATTTTTGATTGAAGAGTTTTGTTCTCCTTTTTAAGGGCAGAAACCTTCTTCTTCATGTCGGCCAACATTGCCCTGTTTTCAAAAGCTTGCATAGAGAGAGAGAGTGGGCATGTTGAATGGCCTGAAAGAGCACAGAGCAAAAATTATTACAAAATTTTACAAAATAAAAGAGAAGACAAGTTTCCATGTAAAGACACTTACTTGGACAGAACGTTGGAGCATAAAGGCATAGTTCTCGTACTCACTCATCATGTCGGCCAACTTTGCCCTGTTTTCAAAAGCTTGCATAGAGAGAGAGTGGGCATGTTGAATGGCCTGAAAGAGCACAGGGCAAAAATTATTACAAAATTTTACAAAATAAAAGAGAAGCCAAGTTTCCATGTAAAGACACTTACTTGGACAAAACGTTGGAGCATAAAGGCATAGTTCTCGTACTCACTCATCTTAGCATTCCGCTCAAGATCACCTGGGAGAAGTAGGGCGGTCCTGAGTGCTACGCCGACATTAATGTCATCAGCACTATCGCTGGCAAGAACAGGCTTATCTTCTAAAATAATTTCAGGCGTCCAGGGGACTTTTGGTATTCTGGACCCCGAGATCGTCGCAGACGATGACCTCGGCTTCTTTGATTGTGTGGACTCCGATGGCTGTGTCTCAGCAGACCTTTTTTTGGGAACGGAAGCCGTCTTCTCACTCCCTGCCAATTGTGAAATTGTCAGGGTATCCTCAGCCTCAACTTCAGTGGCTTTAGCCTTTGGCTGGGCGTTCTTGGTTCGTTTCGACTTTGGTGGGGGCATGGTTTGCATCGGCTGAGCATCAACGTCAACAGGGAGATCGACAAGAAGGTCTTGAGCAACGGGCTTTGGGCGACCCATCTCAGCAGTTTTGACAAGTCTTCGCCGACGTTTTCGTTCTTGTATTGGGACCAAGTATGGGGCCGAAGTAGATGGTTGATTGGTTGGGTCAGATGTTGACTCTTGATCTGTTCGTGATGTAGAGGCGGTTTGAGTTGTGGCAGTAGGATGAGAAAGGCTTTTCTTCTTTCTTTTGGGGACGTCGGGCAAAATCAATTTGTATGTAGGAATAAAGTTGAGAAGAAGATGTGCTTTTCTTTTGTGAACTGGCAAGTCCAGGAGTTTTTTCAGGTCCTTACTGGGAACATAAGATTGGCGGAAGTTTTTCGCTGGCTTGCGAACGTCTGCAAGAAGAAACAGACATTAGAAACAAATAAAATATTGAAGACTTGAACAAAAACAACTAAGTATTGATACTGGGCTCTTACCCTTACCCTCTTTAACTGACCGGGAAAGAGGGTAGAGATGGGCGTCCTCGTCTGCGCCAAACTCCCAATTTCCCGAAGCAATAACATAATCATCTCTAGCCCCTTTGTTGGAGTCTGGGAAGTCGGTTACGATTTTGAATTCTGTAGACCTCAGCTTAAGATAATAAATTAAGTCTTTTTCTTTCAAGTTAAGGGCACACATGGTGTAAAAATACTGTATGTCGGCTAAGGTGATCCTAACGTTTTCCTGTTTAGCTAAGGCGATAATACCAAAAATCACTCGATAAGAGTTGATTGCCAGTTGCATGGGGTTCAACTTATAATAATGAAGAATCTCGCGAAGAAGGATATTGAGTGGGAGCCGGAGTCCGCACTCAGTAAAAGCTACAATGGGAAGGGGCATGGCGTTTTCTGTAGGCATGATGGAGTCGTCATCCCCAGCCAGTCTCAAGTGGACATCGGCAGGGATGGAGAACTCTTGCCTAAAGTACTCAAGTTTGGTCGGGGTATCTACCCTATGTCTCCACATACCCATAACATCGGCTCCTATTAGAAGGGTTGAAATTCAGAAAGATGTTTCTTATTGGTGAGACCTCGGCAAACAGTGAAAATAGGTGCAGGTTTTAGTTTTTTCCTAAGTTATGGGTTCTACAAACAAATCCCAAACCTAAAGCTATGAAGATGAAGATCAAAGGTACAGATCTGGAAAAGATACAAAAAAACAGAAAACAAATACGAAGTTTCAGAGTCAAGAACAGAGATGGACTATCAAGAACATGAAGAATACAAAGGGTTGAAGGCCAGGAAACAGTAGCAAGACGTGCAAGAAACACTAAGAACAGTACATGTATTCAGGGCATAAGCAAAAAATAAAATCAACGCATTCAGATGTATGATCTACAAATTGATTACTTAAGAAAAGCAGTAGTAAACAAGAAATTCCAGGAAAGATCAAGAACTGGAATAGAAAGAAACAGATGCTTACTAGAAAAATGGAGGTCGGAAAGGAATTTGCCGACGTCCTACGACGGTTGCAAGAGCAGAAGACCGGTGGAAATCTCGCCGGAAGGGGTGAACGGAGAAGGATGCAGAGCTTTAGAAGCTTGAGCAATGGCAGATTTGAAAGAAAGAGTTTTAGAGAAAGAAAAAAGCAAGAGAACTCAGATGCAAAAGTGAAGAGACGAAAGAAAGGGGGAAAGATTTTGTCAAAAAAATGAAAACGGCGGCAAAAGCAATCAATAGACGGCGCATGTGAAGAAGAGATGACTTATGGGCACGTCACAGGCATGAGCCAGTAAGAAAGAAACGCGTGTCTAAAACGGTTGAATTGAAGTGCATGACAGCTCATGCGCGTAAAAGGTTCCTTAAAAATCTTGATTTTTTAGGGAAAGCATGTCGGCCAGAAATGGATGATCTCGGGTATCAAACTTTAAGCCGATTTACTGGAAGAAAATACAGATATAGGTTCCATCTCCTCAGAATACCGAGGTAATAGAACCTAGGGGGTAGTTGTGGGGATGTATTTTCTAAATACACCAACACGTGGCAAAGTGACGCCGACGTATCAGCCGAGGTGCCACGTGTCCAGGTTATGACACCGAGGTGATCTCGGCAAGGCCGAGATTGTCTCCGAAGATATTGGAATCCGAGATAAATGGATAAAAGATAAGGGACAAGAGTCCTAGAGTAAAGATGAGACTTAGCTAAGATAAGGATAAAGCTCTTAGGGAGTTTATCTTTATCTCTTGAGAAATCCAACGTAAGCACTGAATGGGAGTCCATAGAAGTCAAGCTTCTAGTGGGACTAGGATTGAGTAAACTATAAAAGAGAGGCACCCCCGTGAGTTTAAGGTACGCAGTTTTATGCTTTGAGTAGTGAGTTTAGCACTTGATTATCTTTGAGAGATATACTGACTTGATCGTCGGAGTGTCCCCGGGTGGAAGAGCCACCACCGGAGCCTTTTCTATCTGTTACAGGTTTGCTAAAGCCATCTATTCTGCCGGTGCTCTCCAGCTGATTACTAGGCGGGCAGTGTGGTCAGAAAATCACTCACACAGTTAATATATATTTTTTTCATAAAAAGTCAAAAAGTTATCCCAAACAACCATTTTTTTATTCTACTTTTTAGACTGAAAATTCAAAAAGTACATTTATTTAGGACATCCCAAACAACCCTTAAATGGAGAAATTAGAGCGAAAAAACATAACAAAATGTGATAAATATTGATAAACTAAAAGAAAAAAAAATGTAACGACAAAAAACAGCAATGGAAAAAAACATATGTTATTTTTCAATTTTTGTAGGGTTTAAACAAATAATTTTCAATATTGATCAAACTGAAAAACAAGCTTTGAAACTGTAAAATGTTACAGCTTCAAAGCAAAAATTTATTAAGCATTTATCTTTATTAATCAAACTGAAAAACATGTAATGAAATTGTAAAATTTTAAAGTTTTAAAGAATATTATGAAATTATAAAATTTTGCAGTTTTAAATCATGATTCATTCTAGCACCTAAAACTATTGAAACTGCAAAATTTTACAGTTTTCACCGCCTATAACTAAAACTCGAAAATAACTTGTTCAGAATTTGAAAATTTTCTCCAAACAGAAAAGAGAAGTGTATAGCAGAGAAAATGTAAAAAAATTAAGAGATCGAAGGAGAGAGACAGAGATAAAAAGAGGATTGTACTCCGGCAATTATTTTTTGTTTAGATCTGGTCGGATCTGATGTAAATCTATATCAGATCTAAATAGATCTATTCATCTTCTTTGTCAAAAACATTTTTTTCGCCGTCGGTGAGAGTAAAGTAAAGAGTTGGCGGTCAGTGGTTGTCAGTGAATCTCAATAGATGGTAGTCATCGGTCGTTAATGACTATATATTAGAAAGAGAAAGAGAAGAAATAAGATGTAGTTGTCCGTCAACGATCGCCAAAAATCACAAAGAGCAAAAGAGACAGAGAAGAAGAAGAAGAAAAACGTTATAAAACTTTTGAGTAAAACAAAAGATTATGAATAGGCTATATGTTTTTCTAAAAAGACTTCTTGATAACTTACTCTTTTTTTAAAAAAAAAAACTATTCCCTCGTACCCAAGGCCCAAATACAATACAACGAAAATTAGTTATTCAAACTGTGACTCAATGTAGGTATACATCCAAACACAATATCCACAATTCTACATGCACGCCTTTCACACCAGAACACTACCTATAGTATATAACCCAATATTCAACATAACTAATCTTTTCAAATTTTGTATAAACTAGTAATTTTTCAACACTAGAAGAATGTACAGAGCCAATTTTTGTACATCACATCAACAACCACCAAAATTTTTTAAAAAAAAAAGAGAAGAAAAAAAGAAAAATGCAAAAAGAGCATATTCCCTCTCTAAATATTTGGACTGGTAAGTTTGTTAGAATCTACAGCTATTTGCCTGCTCTTTCTTATATATGTATCGAAAATCCTTGCAAAGGCATATTCAGATGGCCAAAGGAGGGAAATCTTCATCCTTGAGGTGGTATGACTGCTTTGCAACCCTGAAAATTCAAAACCATATATACCGAGCTTTAGACAAACCAGTACGTAAGAAAGAGAAACTTCAACATCGTAATTCGTTCTCTACTTCCGTAAACAGATTCCAATGCAACAAATTTCCTCTACCTTTCTTGATTATTATCCAATACTGTTTTTGCGCTCTGCACTTTCATTGTCACTGGGCTTGGAGTGGAGCCCCAGCCTCGACAAGTGTCTGAAGCTGTCGGACCGCTTTCTTCCGGCATTTCTCCAAACGATCCAAATTCAAGTTTCTGAGATAAGATGGAGAAACCAGAAGAATTAGAGTCATCGTCCAGCTCAGAATGAGTAGATTGCTGGGACCGAGAATGTGGAAGCTCATGGCTGCCTCCCTCAAATGACTTTTTCTTCTCCAGCAGTGTTGGAGCTGAGCCATTGTTACGAGTGTGTCTCCATGACTGGCGTTGATTCCCCGATGCCTGGTTCCTTCCCCTTCCTTGTGAGGACCTCCCTCTGCATGAACAACCACTCTGCAAAATTCATGCGTAATGATCACTGATAATATGCAGCTGTAAATTAAAACTGTATTCATCTCAATATTATTTCAACACAGAATATATGCCAAAGAAATTTGAAGGCAATACCGAATTGGGAAAGTATGTGCCAGTTCCTCGTGCTTGATGTTTTTCTTCTGAACCCAAAGAATTGGATAGTGGGGGATTGTTCATGGGGTTTTGCGAAAATCCCAAGACTGCACCAGTTGTGTTCGTTTGAGAATTCACGCTCCGCTTAAGTGGCATGGATCGACGAACAGTTTCCCATGGCTTTTTATTTTGCACCTGAGAATGGAATGTGGGCGGATTGGGATTGGGCAGTACAGGTGCGGATAAAGCATACCCATGGCAACACTGACCATATAGCAAACTCCTTATGTGACTGTCATAGTCCCCGCTAAGGTCTGACAAGGGATTCAATGTTTCGGTGCTTCCAGCAATATCAGCCAAATCTTTTCCCTAAGATCAAGGGCCAAACCTTCTGATAGAAGCGCATATGGACTCAAGATTCCAGAACCACAACAGCTCACACCCTCATGATTATTAGTGCATGAACAGACTCCATAACCAGCCCCCAAATGGTTCTCCCTGTGTTCAATCCATGAATCAAAACCCATCCTCTCATCAGCAATGTTTGCCACCTTTTCTTCATACAACATCTTATTATGAGGTGCATAGTAATATAAACCAGAAAGAGAATTGTTTAAGTCGCAATTTGATGGTGAACAATCAGACAAGTCACTGGCGATTCTCAAACTTGAGTCTCCAGCTAAGTGAGATCCTAAAACACCAATCCCATCTCTTGGACAAGCCGCCTGTAAAGAATCATCTTTCATGGAGTATCTGTCTAGTTCATTATCTTCCACCTCTGGTATATTACTATCCAAATCAAGATTCAATGAGTTCAGTTGAATCTTTTCCTCAGAGAATGTTCTGGAATGAGATGACAAGGACAAATTGCCAGATTTACGTCCATGCCTCTCCAGTGTGTTTGAAAAGAACCACTTGATCTCATCTGCAGTTCTCTCTATTGGTAATAGAAGAATTCGACCAAGCTTGCGGGCCCCATATTTGAAAGCACTACGTATTCGATAGAAATTACCTACATGAACCAACATGTGCCATATTATCATGATGTAAGGAAGTCATACACATCCCAAAAGATAAAGGCACCTACAGATTATTCTTTTCTGAAAGTACTTCACAAATCAAGAAAAACAATTCATTTGCTTATTTTATCCCTTTTGAAGAGCAGGAAGTAAGACCCATGTCAAATTATTGCACAAAAAGAGTCTCTGAGTCTTCAACAGTCATTTGCCTTGACTAGATTAAGTTCCAAAATTGCTAAAAGCGTAAGATTAAGAACCTCCAAAACTAAAAGCATTGACTAGATAAAAATTAGAATAAAAAAAATTATCACCCTATCCATGTACTTAAAACCTTTCAGAGAACGACATTCATTATCAGTGATAACAACCTCCACAACAACTGGCTACAACAGTAATCTCAGGCTATAAATCTCTGTATAGCTGGATCATAATTTAAATAGACTGCCAGAGGCCCAATTTCAATAAAGTATAAGCAAGCAAATTCTCCCTACCTCTGTGGACACTGCGCCCAAGGTTGTTATTTTCTTTCAGCGGATCAATTATATTTAGATGCTTTTGTGGAAATGCTCGCAAATTTGTTTCAAGCCCCCTTGATGGAACTGAGAACATGTCCATACAGTTTCTAAGAAATTCTTCACTAAGCATCAAATCATCCCCCACATTTGCTGGCATCTCAACTGCATCCCCAGAAACAAAGAACTAGAATCATATGCCAAAAAAAAAAAAAAGAGAATTACCTACTTCCCAGGCAGAAAGGGGTCTTGCTTACCAACTATATCAGGCAGTGAAGCTTTGCTAACTGGTCCTTTCAAGCTAATACAGTAGTTTTCCCAATCAAATTTGCTAAAATAGTCCAAAAATCTGTAGAGAACCTAAAAACATAAAAAGAAATATAGTAAGTGGAACTCAGTCATGCATTGTGTCTACCAATACAATGTCAGTTTGCACAGACAAGAGTAATTACCGCCAAAGGCCCATCTAATGATGCGTGAAAGAGATGGAAAATATATAAGACCAATGTTTCCAAAGCATACGTAGAAATTAAACCATGAGGGGCACCAAGAATACGACTTTCATAATAGCACCAAGCCTTTATCAGAATAATGCTACGTTTGAAGAGATGATCTTTGCCAACAAGGCGATCAACCTGCATGAGAGACAGAGAGAGAGAGGTGTCACAATTAATAAAATATATATATATATATATATATATATATATAGAGAGAGAGAGAGAGAGAGAGAAAATGGTCAGCTGTTAACTTTTTTTCAGGATGCCAAGACTTAAAAAAAATATCTAAATCAAATTTGTAGCTACACTCTGAAGCATTTATCTAATTCAATAATGAACATTAACTACAACATGATTGTATCAAGATTTTACTGTAGAAACAAGAAGGGGATGTAAAGACTTAATATAGAAGGCATGAGGAAGTAAACAAACACAAACTGTGAGCAGTTATGCTTGTTATGCACAATGGGAAAATGCAAAGAGATGTAATGCTGCAAATAAAGAACCAAAGACTTACACTACAGCAATTATGGAGAAACAACTACAACGGAAGAAGGACGGGCAGGAAGTAGGGGGGAGGATGTCCAGTATACATATACCAACACAGAAATATCAATTGGTTAAGCATTTTGTTACCATGGGCCCTTAGAAGCTTACAAATATTGTACATCCTGCATGAAAGTGCGTGTAATGAAGTGTATAATATTTTAAAATTTTCTTAACATATGCCCAAAGGGCACATGTTAACAAGACCCTTTGTTTAAATACAATGAAAACAAAACTAATTTATTTCTTATGCTACATAAAATAAATAAGACTATTTCTGGTGGGACATAACTGGAGTTGAAGTATGCAAATAAAGCAAGAAGCAAGACAGCATATATTTCAAACCCTAACAGGAAGTCTTAAATCGTACCTGCTCAAGGAAACATAGTGTACAAAGTCCTCCTAACTGATTGAAGGAGATATCTATTACAATATTCTGCACTAGGCATTTCACAAGTTTAACCTGCCATCAATGACACAAATATTTATAAATACAGAACTTCAAAGCTTGAAACAACTCAAAATAAATATAAAAAACAAAGACCAATTGTCATGTTGGATAAAGTATATGACTAGAGAAAGGTGTGATGTCATCCGTGCAAGTAGCAACTTTCCAAAAAAAAAAGTAAAAGACAAAAATTGATAAACATGTCGATCCACAAGCACATGTTGAGGAAAAAGTCAATTCTACCAGAGAATTGGAGCTAAAAAGGATATTTCTACTAGCCATATATTCCACTATTTGGAATTCTGCCATTAGAAGCTCTCTCTTTTTTTTTGAAGCTGTTTTTAAAGTCTTTATTTCTGTCTATAACTAATTTTCAAGAAAAAGATTGGAAATCAAAACAAAGCTCAACAGAATAGAAGAGAATCAACACAGCTGTGTTATAGGAGAAGTCTGCCAGAAGTTTAGGGCATGTATGGAGGTTTGTTTGCCAACATATCACACGCAAAGACCAAGTAACGAGCATGCACAACATTGGGAAGAACCTACTGAAAACCAACAAATCATATGTTTAACCCAAGAAGGATAATTCCAAAAATCTAGAACGAGGGGGAAGATGCTGACTGGAAACCTAAATGAGAACAAAGTGGGTATGACCCTCTTACAGAAAGTTTACTCAAAGTGAAAGACTTGAGTATCAACGTGATTACATCCTACTTGTGTCATGAAAAGGGGAGATATGTCATCTTGAAGATGATACAAGTAAGATATACCAATACACCCAGGATAAGACAACAAGAAATATAAAAACAATTCGGGGAAAAAGTTGAAGATGTTGTATTGAGAATTGGCAGACATAATGTAACTTAACCCTTTATGTACAAGGAAAACATATTAAGCTCAGACAAACTTTACAATAAAGCATCAGCGTGAAAAAAAACAAAAACCTCAGCATCAATGAATTGTGTATCCTTCACTTCATACTCAGCATTCCCATTCTGCTCTTCTCCTTGCAGAACAGCAAGTACATCACGGGCCAAAGTCTCCTCAACAGTAGGACTGCTAAGGGCAGTCAAATCAATATCTCCATCAGGAAGGTAGGTCTTCAGTGGCACAGAGCCATAGGGGAAGACCTACAAAATTTGCATAAAGAATCAGTAATGCTCAACTTAAAGTAACTTCAATAAAATGGTGTACCAGTCCTCCCCACATGGCTTGCTCCTATAAAGATAATATACAACCCAACTGTATCAAAAATTCATACAATTGGAGATATGAATCGCAATTTTAATTTGAAGTGTGGAAGGATCCTTTGGCATTAGCAAGTAACAACATATCTCAGCTCATAAAGTGGAGATCTTCATGGTTTTCCACTTTAAGAGAAAATGAGTGTATGTGCCACAATCTTCTAAGCATAGGAACATTAATAACTGACAAACTCAGACTGCTGTTCATAAAGAAGAAACTCTACATTTGGAACACAACCACTGACACGTTTCAGCAAATTGAATGCTCAAGAAAACAGATGTAGAATGAGAGGAAAACAGATGTCTTAAGTCTAGGAAATAGAGCATAGGAGATGAGAGGAAAACAGATGTAGAATGCTCAAGAAACTGCCCAAATTGAAGCAAGTGGAGCCTTAATGAAACAATTGAAAGGAGATTTAGGAGAGTAAAAGGTGGTGGAAGAACAGAGACGAAAAAGGCTGACAAACACCCAAGAGCGAAAAAAAGAGAGTAACTAAATACAAGGACTCCAAGATTTTGAAAACTTAGCTGAAGCAGGGCAAAAAGTCAGGAAATAAAAAACTCAAGTAATTGCACAAATTGATTCACATGCATTTCTTAAGCCTAGTAGCTAAATTATTAAAAATAAAAAATAAACAAATAAGTGGTGGAAAGAGGGAGTAGGGGTATAAATCCTAATCGAAATGAGAAGGATCTAAAATAACTTTAACGTGACTAGTATCTTTTGTCAACACATTAAAGAAACCACTCAAAGCTGCCTTTTTCTTTTCTTTTTTTTATTTTTATTTTTTTATATTTTAATTATAGATATTAGCTCCCTCAAATAGGTTCAAAGTGAAGAAACAATTCAAAGATCCTTTTACATCATCATTTACACATCATTTGCACTCTTCCATGTTGATTGTCCATATTTTGTAAATGGACTGCACACCCTTGGTTACTCTTCTCTCCTACAATACAGTACCTATCAAAAAACAAGGTGGTTTGCCAATCACAAATCATGATCTGATGGGGGTTAGGCTGATATAACATATGGGCTGATTTGATATAACAATTTCCAACACAACAATTTAGGTTCATACAAAAAAACAGATTACTCCCCATTACATATTTTTTTAATAAAAAATAGTGAATTACAATTGCCCCCACCAAGGGTTTTGACAAACAGAAATTCCCCTGGCAGTAAATTTGAAGGGAACCAAGTTAACTAAGAAAGTAAAATGATAAAAAAAATCCCGTGTCTCTTACATGCATAAAATAATAAAATAAAATAAAATAAAATTCTCCGTCTCAAGAATGATTAGAAAAACTAATGTATGTCAAAGATAATATTCCACATAACATTATTTAGGGTAAATTACAATGACCTCCGTTGATATTTCTAACAGATACATTTAACTACCTGATATTCTAGAAAATGCACACTCACCCCCAAAAACTTGTAGTCACATAACTAACAGCCCCTCTCATTAAGTGGTTGTTAGGGTTTGTGATAGTGAATTTCTACGGCTTTTTTTTCTTCTTCCTTCTTCCTACAAAAATGAGTAAGAAAAGGAAGAACTAAGAACTAATGAAAAATTGCGTGCCAAATATAATGACTGCAATAGAGGTGTACCAGAATTAGATCATAGGGCAGTAGCAAATGGTAGAAACACTTCCCCATAGGTTGAACAAAACCTTTCTTAACTAACTTCTCAATGCAATGTTTCGCATATATTCAGGACCAAATAGGCTACACTACACGATCAAAAGATGTCCACAATCACTTAATCCCTCAGGTTGTATTAAATTATTAGATTATATGTGGGTGACTCAACAATGCCAGATGCAACAAGTGTTAGATAGCCATGCCAATGCCAGCTTAACTGCCTTCAAATCATCTAAACATAAGAACTAACATGCTTCCTATGTGATCATTCAGAATGAATTCCTGATTTCACTTGGAAGCTGTAAGACAAACAATAAAATTTCCCCAAAATTGCCAACCCCTATAAAATTCTACTAATACTGCATGGAAATGAGTCATCAAATATATCCATAACAACAACAACATACCAACACAGCTTAAAAAAACTAAGGCAAAGAACAAAAGAACTGTTCACAGGACACACAGAAAAGCAGAGTGAAGCCTCTTCACTGGAAAATAACCATCCCTCAGAAATTGAATTGCTCTCACATGCATTTGAACAATAATTTCAGAGGGTTCCTCTAACTATTATGTTGAAGATTGTAAAAAAATAAAAAAATAAAAAAATAAATTATCAAAAAAAACTATTTACCCACAAAACAGAACCAACAGAGGATGACCCAAGTAACAAATTAACCAGACAAAACAAAAAGTGAGGCATTGAATTCACCTCAAATCCAAGAGAACATCTGATGAGTCTCTGAACATATTCAATTACATCTTTCCTCTTCTCCTCAGAGTCCAAAGTGGGGTGAATACAACATATGACTTGTTGGGTGGTTTGTTCAGCTATCGCCCAACTTTCCTCCCCAATTGACGATGGATCAGGGTTAGAAGCAGGCAATGGCGGCGAGAAGGACACCGAAAAAGAACGATCTTCCGTCAGGACACCGTTTGGCTGCTGAGAAAAAACTTGAAGATCGCCCATATCACCAAAAATATCCAAAACTGATTAAACCCAGAAGAAGAGGCCTTCAACGAGGGTTTCAGAGGTCACAAAGGGGGTTACCATCGTACGTGAATTCTAGAGAGAAGGGTTTAGAAGGGTTTAGAGAGAGAGAAACCGCAAATGGGTCGACGGAAAAGGGACCTGGTGTGAAAAGGGTTCGATAGGGAAAAGGTTTGAAGAGGCGCACGAAGATATATATATATATATATAGACAGAGAGAGAGAGAGAGAGAGAGAGAGAGAATGTATGTATGTATGTATGTATCGATCTATAACGACCTGCCCTTATATGTATTAAGAAGGAAAAAGGAACGTAAAATTCGGGGGATTGAGACAAAAGCTAGCTGAGCTGAGCCTGAGAGGGCCGATTCGAAAGAGAATTGTCTGTTGTTTCATCCAAGCCTTTTTGCAGCATAACCAAAGGGAGTCAAGACTCCCTTCTTACACTTCCTCTTTACAGGGTTGTTGGGTCTATTTTTAGGTCTAATTTTTATAATTTGAATCGTATTTATTTTAAAATTTATTTAATATATTATATTTTTAAAAAATTAAATTGATTCGATATCAAAAAAAAATATGTGTTCAGAAAATTATTTATTAAATTTTTTTAAAAAGTAATTTTTAATTTGATTTTCCTAAAAACATGTTTTTTTATATCTAATCAATTTAATTTTTTATAAATATAATATACTAAACAAATTTTAAAATATGAACATTTTATATCATCAAAATTAAGTTTAAAAGTAGGCTCAATGGCCCTCCAAGCAAGAAATGATGTAAGGAGGGATCCTTGCTCAACCAAAACACCCTCTTCCCTCTGTCTCTCTCTGTGTAGAGAAGAGAAGTGACGCGACGCAAAGGAAGCGAAAGAAAGGGAAAAGACAAATTAATTCAGATGAGCACATGGGTTTTCAGCCTTTTAGGGGCAGGAGGAGATGGCCCTATACGACGACGTATGGGTCGCCGACGGCCACGACGAGGGTAGTAGGCTGTTTAGCCTGATTAATTGTGACTTAAATTTGATAATTAAAAAGTAAAAATTTTAAATATTATTTTTTAATTTATATAATTAATTTATTAATTTGAATGATCTAAATAAATATATATAAATTTGTAAAAAAAAAAATTAATGTGATTTAAATAAGTACACTTATATTTATCATGTCAAATAATCCTAATGGGCAAGTTTGATACCATTTAAATTATTTTGTGTAGTTTTTACTTATAGGTATGAAATATAAATAACTTAAATAATTAAAAAAATTAATTATTTAAAAGTTAAAAAAAAAGAAATAATTTTAATTTTTAATTATTAATTTTTTCATTTTTCAATGATCAGTTTTGCAAAATATCTTAAATTAAAATAAATTATAAATAACTTATTTAATTTACGCCAAACAATCCTACGTGAGTGTTCATGTCGTCCTTTGGTTACGGGATTAAGATTGGCCGCCCTCGGCTACATATCTTTCTTTGATTCTTATGAAAAGTCAAAACATTTTGCGAAAGAGTAAATCCAAATGTACTGCACAATTGCGTTCTTTCCTGCTTAACTTTAATGTTGTATTTGGTTCAAAAATTTAAAAAAAAAATTAATAAAATAAAAAATATATATAAAATTATATAAAATGTGAGTATATTTTATTTATATATTTTTTTAAAAAAAAATTCTTCTTAAATCTCTCAATCAAATACAGCGTAAAAAAAAAAATTATTAGTTGGTTCTAAAATACTGCATGACAATATCACTCATCAATCTCCATTTATCATGCTTTTTATGTTTCTTAATCACTCAACAAAAATTTATAAATTCTTCCATTTCTATCAATCACAATACTATTAAAACAGCACGTAATGATATTTTAAAAGTAACCAATAACTTCTCGCTTAAAAGATCACCTAGTTCTGACTTGTCAAAAAAACTTCTCTCCGTCCCTTGAGTTTAAAGCTTGCTTTATTGTTTAAAAATATATATGTTTTTATTAAAAAATTATTAGTTAGTTCTGGAACCCCACATGACAATATCATACACAAATCATAATTTATTATACTTTCATATTTTTCAATCGCTCAATAAAAATTTATAAATCTCACAATTTCTATCAATTATAATACCATTAAAACCCTGCATAACAATATCACTCAATAACTTATCAATATCACTCAATAATACCATTAAAACACTACAATTTCTATCAATATTTCAATACCAACCTATAACTTATCCCGTCAAAGAACACCTAGTCATGACTTGTCGAAAAAACTTCTCTCACTCCCTTGAGTTTAAAGCTTGCTTTATGGTTTAAAAATATATGTTTTTAAAAAATTAAAAAATTCAAGTATTGATAAAATTTATATACGAATGCAATTATAACTTCTTTTTTTTTTTGCAATGCATAATCCTATACGTTCAATAGTAAAGGTTTTAAAGAGTAAGCCTAATTTTATAGTAAAAGTTTTGAAGATTAAGACCTATTTTGAGAATTTTTTTTTTTATTTTTTTTACAAAAAAAAAACATAAAACAATATAGAGAGTGAATTAACTTTTTATAGTAACTTTTTGATTTTTTTTTTTGGACTAAAATATCAACTTTTCAAAATAAATTTAAGTCTAAAGACACCATTAATCATTTTTAAATGATCGTATATTTGATATACAGGTAAATTGCACTTTCATTCCTTGAGATTTGAATCTAATACATATCACTCTTGACGTTTGAGAAAGTACACGGAATGAAAATATTGAACTCATACATTCTCTCTTTTTTTACTTTACTTTACTTCTTCTTCTTTTTTTTTTCCCCTTTACTTTACTTTTTTTTTTCAATATAATTTCCTCTAATTTTCTCCTTTTATATAAGTAAAAAGTTTATGAAATGAGACTATTAACTAGAGGAGTAGAAATGTAATTTTTAGAACGTTATAAATAAAATATAATTAAATCAAATCTCAAGAGATGTCAGTGTAATTTACCCTTCATATAAAAACTTTGACTTTTTGGTGGACCTCCTCCCCCAAGTTGTAAATGTTGTGTGATTCTCATATTATTAAGTCATAGTGTGGACATTTGGGGATTAATGAAAAAATTAATTTTTGATTAGAAAAGTCAATAAACTACTAAATTGTTTGTCATCATCTACAAAAGAAAAATAAAAAAATATAAAAAATAAAAATAAAATATTACATAAATTTAATCACTTTTGAAAAAAATCATTTTTTTTGACGACTTTCTAAACGTAATAATTTTTCTAACTCTTAAGAAAGTAAAAATGTGTCGAAAAGAAAGAAAGAAAAAATTCTTTAAGAATTCTGAAAGCACATTGCAAAAAAAATAAAAATAAAAAGTTATACAAATATATAACGTAAAAATATTTATATAAATATTTTTAACTTTTTTTAACAAAATTTCAAGGAAAAATTACAATTCACTCTACTTTTTAAAAAATAATCAGACACATAAAAAAATATATATTTTTAATTATTAATATTTATAAAATTTATCATAAATTTATAATTAATATTTATAAAATTTATAATTATTATTTTTTCTTTCTGTTGTAAATATTACTTAACAGAAATGATATATTCATTTAATTTGGGAACTCTAAAAGAGCATTAATGATGTGAAAAATCCAAAAAAAATAAAAAAATAAGGCCAAAACATCGCATCACATTAGACGCACATGCCAATTAAAACTTTAGAGCTCTTAATTTAGAACTCCTAATCTTTTTATTTATCAAAAAATGTTATAGATCTCAAATAAATTACTAAATATTCTATCAAACCTTTCACATGGGTGTGAGACCACACACATGTAATTTGTGTAGGTGTCATTTCATATAAGAGGTTTAATAAAATATTTAATAATTCATTTGAGATTTCTAACATAACCTTTTTCTATCACTTTTAATTGATATTTCCCCATCTTTCAAAGCCACGAGTTGAAAACAACATTTAGCCTCCGTTTAGGGAGTGGGTTGGCTTTTTGACTTTTTGACTTTTTTGGCTATTTTAGCCTGGGCTAAAAAGTTTGATTTGGGAATGACTTTTTGACTTTTTTTTGTGAGAGAAGAGTGTAATGGTTATGGATTGGATGTGATGTTTTGTTTTTTATGGCTAAAATAACCTATTTTATCTTTTGTGGCTAAAATAACCAAAAAAATCTGGAATAGCTCTTCCCAAACGGACCCTAAGAATGTCATTGAATAAGATAGGCATGTGCTGTGCAATGTTAGTAGGATAATACTATATGCATTTATTGATATATTAAGATCTTGTTTGGAAAGTCGACTATTTTAATTTTTGGCTATTTTAATTTTTGTCTATTTTAGTAGGTTAAATTTTGTGTTTTTGGAAGATGGTTAAATTTTTTTATAGTTAGATGCAAAGTTTGTGAGAAAAAAAATAAAATAATTATCGTTTAATGTGACATTGTCTTATTGACTATTTTGACTTGTTTTGTCATTTTGTGAATTTTAGCTTAAAAAACCTAAAATTCACTTGCCAAACAAGGCCTAAGTCTTCGTTTGGGAAGTGTGTTAGTTTTTGGCTTTTTGGCTTTTTAACTTTTTTAGTTATTTTAGCCTAGGCTAAAAAGTTTGGTTTGGAAATGGTTTTTTGACTTTTTGACTTTTTTTTTATTTTTTTTTTGTGAGAGAAGAGTGTAATGATTATAGGTTGGATGTGATTTTTATTTGTTATGACTAAAATAGCCTATTTTGTCTTTTGTGGTTAAAATAGGCAAAAAAACTCTTGCTAAACGGAGCCAAATATATGATATGATATAATTTTAAAAATTTATAATTTATACGATAAATAAAATTATAATATTAAATTATTTATATTAATAAGTACATATAATACAGATTTTAGTAGTAGCGCAGCATGACAATCATTGACTTTGTACAACCAGATCATCTTGGATTTCAAGTCCACCACATCCACATCATCATATCTTGACATTTTCTACTGCTTACCCACATCTTTCATTATCAATAGCTTGCATATGTATATATTTTCTAGCGGTAATCATAAATTTATATAAGAATTTTTTTAAAAAAAATTACTCCCTCCGTCCCAAAATAATGGTCCCTTTTGGGGAATTCAACTTTTTTTAGTAGTACAATTATTATACTTTTAAAAATTTGATTTTCCAAAATTACCCTTTGATAGTACACTTTTTTGGGAATATCAATGTCATAATTGTACTTTTTATATTATTTATGAATTTAAAAGAAGGGCAAAATGGGAAATTTATATTATTTTTGTACTTGATCTTTAAAGAGGGACTAATATTTTGGGACAATGAAAAATAGAATAAGGGACTAATATTATGGGACGGAGGGAGTAATTAATATTTTTTTTATATATACATATTTTTAATTTGTATTTAAATTTAAGATCTAAATAAAACTTTAATTTTTGCTTATTACACATAACATTCCCTCTATGCTTCATTGGAACTTTTAATTGCTTTCTGGCTACATTAAATTATTTTGAGAAGATAGTTAATTTTTTAATTTTTTTAAATTTTTAGAAAAAATTGTAAAAAATGTTAGAAATAGTGTGACCAAAAATAATTTAAAAACTAAGAATGGACTTTTAACTCATTTCACAAAGCCTCTATTTGGCAAGTTGGTTTTCAGGCTTTTTTGGCTATTTTAGCCATAAAAAACAAAATAGGCTATTTTAGCCATAACAAACAAAACATCACATCCAACCTATAATCATTACATTCTTCTCTCACAAAAAAAGTCAAAAAAGCCAAAAAACCCTTCCCAAACCAAGCTTTTTAGCCCAGGCTAAAATAGCCAAAAAACCAAAAAGCCAACCTACTTCCCAAACCAAGCCAAAAGAACCCATTATCATCTAATTTTTTTTCCCAAGTCAGCTGTGGTTGAAGACAAAGCAAAAGAATGTCAGGTCAAAAAACTACTAGAATATATTTGGGAAATGGGTTGGCTTTTTGGCTTTTTTGGCTATTTTAGCCTGGGCTTAAAAGCTTGGTTTGGGAAGGGTTTTTTGGCTTTTTGGCTTTTTTGAGTTTTTTTGTGAGAGAAGAATGTAATGATTATGGGTTGGATGTGATGTTTTGTTTGTTATGGCTAAAATAGCCTATTTTGTTTTTTGTGGCTAAAATAGCCAAAAAAGCCTGCAAACCCACTTGCCAAACACAGGCTGAATTTGACTGGGAATTAAACAGATTGCCTTCGATATTATTTTAGTTTCAACAATCTATTTTTTTAAAATAAAAAGTCGAAAACAGCATAAAAGAAAATCATATTCCAACTGAGGTCCTGACTTTAGCAGGATTAATTGTTCAAATTTCAAGTGCACTGACCGAGGTTATTTGGGATGTCTGAAATAAGTGCATTTTTTATCTTTTTAGATAAAAAAATTTTTTAAAAAAAAATGATGTTTGGATTAACTTTTTAATTTTTTACGAAAAAATATGTATTAAAAATTGTATAAATAAGTGTATAGGAAAAGTTTTAGTGAAGTAGACAATACGGCCCGTACAGTTTGAGCAGAGTAGTGGCTGAGTAGGAGATACGAAATGGTTATCTCCTTTTCGGGCTTAAATTGGACAGCGTTGTTTGGCCCGTGGGGGCCACCACGGGTCCCATTTTGCTAATCAGAACCGTTGAATGTATAGAACTCGTCGATTACTATATGCTTGAGAAAAATCACGTTAATCGGATATCGATAGCTATCTGATCGTATTAGTTTTTTGTCAACCGTTAACTATAACACCATCATTTTTTGTACAAAACTGATTTGATCATATAATTAGCGATATCCAATCAATATGATTTTTTACAGGCATATAGTACATATTGAACGGTTCAAATTATCAAAACAGGACCCATGATAAATCCCCATAGGCTAAACAGCACTGTGTTGTTTGTGCACCCCGCTTATGCAATTTTTCCAAAAAAGTCTGTGGGGGAGACAGGCACGAGTAGTAATAATTAAGTATAAAATTAATTTTTTTTTGATAAATAGTGATAACTTCTTAATTTTTTAAATAACTTTTTGACTTTTTAACCTTTTTCATGTATCCCAAACCAGGCCTTAACCTGAGCTATCATCTCATCATTGATGGGATTTTGTGCCAATGAACTACTAATCATGACCCTCAATTCTTTTTTTGTTAAAAAATACTACTAAACTAAGCATGAGTAATGCAACAGAAATCCGTTTAGTTTTTGTAGGACAAATCATTTGATAACCAAAACTCATGTATACATTCTTCTAGAAAATACGTGCAATAAAGAACGTATAACTTTTCAAACTTTCTTAAAATATATTAAAGCACACATTAACAATACCCAAAAATAAATACCCATAGAGGTGACTCAAACAATCAAACACTCTTGACACAACCCATTATAAAATGAATAATGCTAAACACTTACATATTTGACCCACAAATTCATCCACAATAATATGACGAGGAAATAAAGCTCTCAATTATTAGGTATATAACAAATTAAAAATTCACATCTATCCTGACATATTATTGAATATAATTGTAAAAGGGTTTTTTTTTGAATCTCAAACATTTTCCTTATAAAATTCAAGCTGGCACCATTATATGTCAGACCCTATAATGCTTAATTATTCCCCCATCTAGGATCAGAGTGACCACATCGCACATGATGCTTGCTTACCCAAAAATAAAAAAGTAAAATCACAATCAAATCAAAAGTTTCATTAAAAATGCAAAAACATTGCATCCCATTCAATTCAGTAGGGTAGCATGGAATTCAACAAGATAAAACTAAAACAAAATTAATCCATAAAGTCAAAACCTTCATAAATAAAAAGACATAATGAGTCTCTGCATCAAATAAATCCAAAGCCTAGCACTAGAGCAGAACAAGCATTGCTTTTCAAGGACGAGGAGGACCTGCTGCTCCAGCAGGGCGTGGTGCTTGACCTGGCTTGGGCATATCATCCTGACACCAACGAAATAGGGCAAAAAAAGAAAGAAAGGAAACTCACATTACAAATAGTATAGAAAGAAAACTAAACCATTTGAAGTAAACTAAAAGAAGCCTAGCAGGTTAGCTTTTAAACCAGAAATGCAACACTAATTACAACAATTGATAAATGGGAGCATGACGATCTAGAAAGTATCTGGGAGCATTCATTTCAATCTACAACATATTTATAAACAGCTTCAAACTGGTCTGAGATAGTTTAATTCGCATCAGTTATGCATTTACTAAAATAATGCATGTTATATATCAGTGATGAACAAAATTTCATTAGTGTGAACAAGCACACAAATATGTGTGTATACATCATGTGTCAGTGTGTGTGTATGCGAGAGAGAGAGAGAGAGAGAGAGTTGCCCTGCATAAACTATAAGGTTTGGAACAAGGACTTATTTAAAAACCCTATCAACGGACATGCCTGAGTAAAAAATAACATGAACCACTTAATTCACTTTTAAAGCTTGTCCATGATGAAGTCATCTAACCCCCAAAAAAGAAACACAAGATTAACCTTGTAAATCAAATAATTGAAGTCGAAAAGTTACTAACAAATTAATTAGAAACATTTTCCATGTAAGCTTCTTGGGGTGGCATCACGTATAGTTGTATCGTTACAAGAAAATAAATCGGTAAAGATGCCAAACCAGTACTGCTCTTTCATAGACCATGGATGTTCAGAAGACAGAAGTAAGAAAGACACAGATGAAAAACAAAGTACCATAACAGCTAATTCTAGAAAAGCAAGACTCAACAACCAATGAAACTCTGTGCACACATACAAAATGAAGCTCAACAAAAAGTATCGACGTTGAATAGCAATAATAAGCTTCTTTGGTAACAACCATGCCTATGATATAAAACTCACTTCACAAACAAAATAAAAAGCTTGAGCAGTTAGGGGCATATTCATCCTGTTTTAATGTCCTACAACTAGGGCTGCAAACGAACCGAGCTGTTTGTGAACAAGCTCGAGCTCAGCCTGATTACTTAATAAACGAGCTCGAGCCAGAATTTTAAGCTCGTTTTCTTAACGAGCCGAGCCGAGCCGAGCTGAGCCCGAGCCTAGCAAGGCCCGGTTCGATTGGGCTCGCAAGCTTGGGTATATATGTTATGAAATTAGGGTTTCACTCCTAAAAGCTGCTGCTCCTTCCTAGAAGCTGCTGGGGTTTTCTCTTCACTCTAAAAAAAATGTTGCCTCTACTCAAGTTTTTCCTAATTCGAATAACAGAGAGAGATTGTTCTACAACCTTTGTCTGCTACTCCTTCCTTGTTTTCTTATTTTTCATCTCTATTTCAAGAGATTTGGTCTCATCTCATCTCTCTGTAGACAAATTTTGGGGCTAGGCTTACAACATCGAATCGAACGAAACACTGTGCTGAATATCAACGTTTCTTAGTTCTGGTAAATATTTGGGACCAGAAGATAAAATCTTCTCTTCAATCCTTTGTGGTAAGTTTTCTATTCCTTACTTTTGTTCTTCAATCTTAGGGTTAGTTTCTTCTTCTTGATAAAATATTTTCTTTGTTCTTGTTTGTGGGACTATCCTTCTTCATATGTTTCATTTATTTATTAAATTTCTATCTCTGATGTCCTTTCATATGTCTCTCTGTATTTAGATAATTTACTCTGAATGTATAGGAGTGAGAGAAAGAAAAAAATTGACTATTAAAAGGAAGAGGAAAAAATACACAGGAAGGCTGCTCTGTTTTTGTGCTTGTATATGCTCATACAAGCATATATGTATAATTTATATGTCATCTGAAAAATATGTTCCCCAGGAAGGCTATTCTGTTTTTTATTCTTGCACTGAGTTGCCAAACAATTAATACAATATTGCAAACCCAATAAGCCCCTTTTGTAATAATTGTTTTGTTGATCCTTGTTGGAACTTATTTGTATTTGAATCATTTTTCTAAACAACAGACAGAGAAGAGAAAGCACGTTTGCGTTTGTGAAACTGAAAAGGGTATAATGAATTTAAATCCCAATTTTGTGAATGAAAAAGTCAAAATAAATTATTCATTTCGATCTTGTACTTTAGCATGTTGAAGTTGAATTGCATGACTCAAGATATCAAAGAGTAATTTGAATTGCATGTTGAAATTGAAGAAAACCATGAGTAATGTACAGGTTTGTTGTTTAAGAAAGAGAGAGGAGAGAGAATTTTTAGAAAGAATGTGTGGGTTTGCTATTTTAGAGAAAGAGAGAGGGGGGGGGGAGAGAGAGAGAGAGAGAGAGAGAGGGACTCGTTTGAGAAAGAGAGGACAGAATGCGTGGGTTTAATATTTTAAAAAATAAGGCATGTTATTTAAGTGTGGTTGGTTTGCTGTTATGTTTTTGCTTACTTTGATACAATGTTGTTGGATATGGCAAACAAATACAATGGTTAAAGTCTATGAAGCACGGACACGGACACGCATACGGACACGGCAATTTCTAAAAAATGGGGACACGGACACGGCAGGGGACACGGCAAATTTTTTAATTTTTTTATAAATATTTTTATTTTAAATGTATAGGAGTGAGAGAAAGAAAAAAATTGACTATTAAAAGGAAGAGGAAAAAATACACAGGAAGGCTGCTCTGTTTTTGTGCTTGTATATGCTCATACAAGCATATATGTATAATTTATATGTCATCTGAAAAATATGTTCCCCAGGAAGGCTATTCTGTTTTTTATTCTTGCACTGAGTTGCCAAACAATTAATACAATATTGCAAACCCAATAAGCCCCTTTTGTAATAATTGTTTTGTTGATCCTTGTTGGAACTTATTTGTATTTGAATCATTTTTCTAAACAACAGACAGAGAAGAGAAAGCACGTTTGCGTTTGTGAAACTGAAAAGGGTATAATGAATTTAAATCCCAATTTTGTGAATGAAAAAGTCAAAATAAATTATTCATTTCGATCTTGTACTTTAGCATGTTGAAGTTGAATTGCATGACTCAAGATATCAAAGAGTAACTTGAATTGCATGTTGAAGTTGAAGAAAACCATGAGTAATGTACAGGTTTGTTGTTTAAGAAAGAGAGAGGAGAGAGAGTTTTTAGAAAGAATGTGTGGGTTTGCTATTTTAGAGAAAGAGGGGGGCAGTTACTCTTCTCGCCGTGTCCATGGCGTGTCCAGATTCGGACACGCGTGTCCCCTACAAAAAAATAAATTAAATTAAGGGGACACGCCAGATGCCGTGTCCCGTACGTGTCCCCGTATCCGACACCGCCACGGCTTCCATTTTGCCGTGTCTATGCTTCATAGGTTAAAGTAGTGCTCTATTCTTAGAATTTTTGTCTGAAGAAGGCACCATATGTAAGTATAATCTTTTATCTTATATAATTAAAGTCCCTTCCAATAATCAATTTATGTGAAAAGTAGTAGAAAAAAATATCTGAAATCAAATTTTTTTTTTGCTTCTCTTAATAGGCTGGCGAGCCATCTTTTAAAGAGATTTTACTGTTTTAATGGTTTCTTGTAACTGGGACGTCTTAACAAGGTATGTTTAATGTTTTTAATTTTTTTCATTAAATGAAAGAGTTGCTCATGGTAATTATTTTACGGTTTTACACTAAGATTAATTTTTATCAAATGAAATAGATTTTTGAGAAGTGCAGTGCAATACAGATTACCCAACAAAGTCGAAGGAAACTTTTGGAGCTGTATCAAGTGAAGACATTATCAGAAAGTTTCATTGATCTTCTTGCTTACTAAGAGAGACTTAAAAGACTTTTGTTCTATTTTTTAAGTGATGTAATTTTATATTTTGGAGTTGGGATATGGGAGCTTTATGTTTTGATTAGATTAGTTTTAAAGTTGGTCTGTTTGCAGATTGCTAGAATAGTTATAGCAATTGATTTTCCTATGTTCTTGATAATTGGATTTTAGCTAAAGAGTTTGAACAGGTCCATTGGCAGGTTTTTATAATATGTTGATATTATTGTATTATTTATGTCATTAATTTATTGTTGCATTAGGATGTTTTATTTGATTTTCAAGATTGGCAGATTTTTTTTTGCTCTGTTCACAGCTTAATTTGTTTGTGTTTTCAAGCTCGTTCATTTGTAAATGAGCTAAGTCGAGCTGAGCTTGAGCTTTATAAATATCTAGCGAGCCGAGCTTGAGCTCAACTTTTATAGCTTGACTCGAGCTCGAGCTGAGCCCGAACATGATCAAATTTTATCGAGCTCGAGCTCAGCAGAACTCAACTTGGCTCAGCTTGTTTGCAGCCCTACCTACAACAGCTCCTGTTAAACAGTTCTGGTGTTACGTATGTCCTGTCTAGTTATCTCTTAGGTTAGAAAAATAGAATTATTGATTATGCCTAATAAAACACAGTCGTGCATAAGAATCCAAGCCCTTTCTCACTGAAGCAGTTAACTCAGACAGCAAAATGTATTACGGAGAAAACAAATAAAATAGCAGACCAATGAAATAAAATAGCAGACCAATGAAACCATTGCTTATATAGAACACAATAAAAACCAAATAAAGAATAAGGTAGCATAACATTCAATGAAGTGCAAAAGGTGATGGGAGCATACCCTGCGTGCGCCTGAAGCGCTGTGGAGGCTCACGGTTCCTCCTATCAGTGCGAGAGCGAACCCTAACAACCTTGGAGTGAATTGCACATGACACGCAGTATTGCATCTTCACGTACAGCTTAGGCAATGTGTAACCTTAACAATAAGGGTAAAAGCAAAACCAGTAATTAGTCATCATCATGGTCATCAAATTAAATAATAAGAAGTGTCAATTATACCAAAATCCCCTAAACTATTAGTGAATATTACATTAACTCTATCTATGAATCCAAACATTTTGACCACCTCAATTATAAAAACTGAATAATTGCCCCTCTTGTTAAGGGGGTGACAAAGATACATTTTTATAGTTCAAGGGTCAAAATGTATGCGTTCATATATGCGAGAAGGGTAAAGTGATATTCACTAATATAGTTGTTTGTGAGAGTCTTGGTGTAATTAACCCTAATAACAATGAGCAATATACTTACAAAAAATTAAATGAACAATAACTAAGAAATTAGGATGGAAAGGTAAACTAGCAAGGGAAAAAGAAATGTTACTGTCAAAAGCACACGCTTCTTGGACATCCCTAACGGCAGCTTGTTCGACTATGTTCCTCACAAGAAACCTCTTGATAGCTTTGTCCTAATAAATAAAAAGATCCAAAACTAAACAAATATCAACAACAATTTCAATCACTGACACAGCTAAAAAAATAATCATCCAACTGCTTCAATTATTTCTTGGAACAAACATGCAATTAAGGAACACCATTCAGGATAGTCTGAGCTTTTTAGCTACTTTTTGACTAATTAAGCGAAAATCTTTAAGCGTGTTTGTTTTTAGCTAAAAAGTTGCAATTGATAAAAAACTACTCCCTCCGTCCCAAATTGTTTGTCCATTTTTGGACTTCATGCCCTTTAATCAGGTCAACTAATAATTTATTTTCAGGAAAAAAAAAGTTCATTTCTTTTTTCCAAAAATTAAAAGATCTCAATCAGTTCATGTATAAAAGCCTTCTACATAGTCAAAAAAATAAAAACAATATTTTGGAATGTCAGAATAGTGTCCATTTTCACTATTCAGACATTCCAAAAAATTGTTTTTATTTTTTAACAATTTGGGCTGGAGGGGTTTTTCAGGACGACCCAGTACTTTCACAATAACCCAAAAAATAAATAAAGAAATAACAAAATAGCATTAAACAGTAGCATCAGCTAGCAACAAATTTATCCTAAAAAGTAAAAAAAAATAAAAAAATGCTACTAAAAAATAATTGACAAACCAAACCCTTCATATCAACCCCAATCAATTGATACAAAAATATCCAAACCATTTAGCCAATTACCCACAGTGATGCATTAGCAGAGTTACCAGCATAAAAATTCCCATTAATCCAAAACAAATGAACACAGATGAGATGATCTTAATAAAAAAAATTGAGCTTTCGAAGCAAATTCAGTATCAAAGGAACATCAACTACAGTTTCTATCACTGGCATAGCAATTCAAATCAATCATAAACATTCATGCACACACATGCATGTAAGTACAGAGACAGAGAGAGCGAGAGAGAGAGGAGACCTTGGGGCAACATTTGCCGCAGTTGGAGCAGCGGATGAACTTGACATGGCCACGGCCGTGCTTGTTGCGGCCGCCATTCCTTCGCTTGAAAGTCTGCACAAAAACAGAGATACATACATATATAGATTCAGAGTTTTGATTGATTGATCGATGCTGAGAAATCAGTATCTCCAATCAGCGATCTGTCTTACCATCTTAATCGGTAGCCTCTGGTTCACTGCCCAAACCCTTGCTTCAAGGTTCAGCCTCGACGGCTCTCTAGGGTTTTTTTTGTTTTGTTTTGTTTCTGAGGGTAGGAGGACAAATGAGGCTGCTATACATTTTATATAGGCCTGCTTGAAGCCCATTAGCACCTCTGGACCAGTTGAGCCGAGTTGGGCCAATAGGGGGTCATATTATCAGGTCCGCTCCTTTCCTTTCAACAATTTACTAGAAACAACCCATGTCTGAAGGCACAATCTACAATTTTTTTGGTATCACATCTGTTATGGAATTTAATTGTAATAAATTAATTTAAAATGATAATATTATTTCAATTTATAACTACACAAATAAGAAGTTGAAATTATTTCTACACATTGAACTGATAAAAATATTCATAAACCTCAAATAGCAAACTACAAAAATAAAGTCCAAATAATGAATTCTATATTTCAATGTAGCATAAGTAAAGAGTCTAAATAGATTTGCTAAAACTAAAGTCCAAATAGCAAATTTTATAATTTGAATCACGTTAAAATAACACATGTATAACAAACCTTCAATAAAAGAATATTACTGAATTAATATCATAACTGGTAATCGTTTCACCTTCAATAAAAGATTTCAATATCTTGTTTTGGCTTATTGACTTATTATTAAAAAAAAAAAACGTGTAAAAAAAATGATGCAATTCAAATAAGCCAATAAACTTTTTGGCTTTTTGTTACCATCCTACAAGAGGCCTTAGAGGGCTTTTTATTATTATTTAGAGCTAAAAAGTGTAGAATATTAGGTTAATAATGATTTTATAAAGGCATAGGAAAATGAAGTTTTTTCTAATATGAAATATCTATTCATTTTTAATTATTTTATTGTGTGAGTGATTTTCTGACCACACCGCCCGCTTAGTAACCAACTGGAAAGCACCAGCCGAATAGATGGCAACTAGCTGACCTGCAACAGAAAGAGAAGATTCCGGCGGTGGTTTCGATCACCCGGGGGCACTCCGAAGATCAATTCAGTATATCTCTCAAAGATAAATCAAGTGCTAAACTCAATGCTCAAAGCATGAAATTGCGTACCTTAAACCCACGGAGGTGCCTCTCTTTTATAGTTACCTCAATCCTAATCCCAATAGAAGCCTGACTTCTATGGATTCCTGTTTAATACTTACTTTGGACTCCTTTAGAGATAGAGATAAACTCCCTAAGAGCTTTATCCTTATCTTAGCAAAGTC